AATAAAAACTTTTTTGTTGTTGTGTTATAAAAGTTGTGTGATAAAAATGGCATCAGTTGCTAAGCTCCTAAGAACAAAACAATATTACCTTCAGAACCCAAGTTCAATCCCTCCTAGGAAATATCCTAATATATTTCTTTGGAACTGAAGCAGGGATGTAGCTTGGTCAATAACCTAGATGTGAGTATGTAGTTACCAGTTTCACCACCAGGTGGTGCATTCGGGTCAGATAACAAGCCAGGGCATTAGAAGCTTCTAACTTGAATAATCATCAGTTCTACTGGTTCAATCTCCCCGACCCAGAAGTCACATTTTCAAAGAATATTAGATTTTCAAAGTACGTAAGTGCACCTTTCAAAACCTGATCTTTAGATGTTATTTTACATGTAGATTTCAAATATGATATCACTTTGACTGAATTTTTAATGACGTAAATCAAAATTATTTCTGCTCGCATCTAGGCCTAGTCTATTCTATTCTCTTGAACTGCCACTGGAAACGATAATAACATTATAATACCCTTATTGTCATCATGTTGATTGGTGGATAATTCGCGTCCCAATATCTTATCTACTACTCCTTTTCAAGTGTTTGTGTTTCCAGGCAAACTCAATTGTTTGAAATTGTCACAAATCATTTATGTATGAAAATTATTATCGTCCCCGTGAGTTATTACTTGTATTGGCATTTATTTTGTTCTGAAAGTGTGACAAATAAGGTCATTATGTAAATGAATCGGGACTTGTAAAATAAATACGAAGGCAATGAACTTTTATGAACGCCTATTGGCTCATTATGGTTCACAATTTGAGACGAAGCTTCCTGGGCGTCTTTAATGACAAACAAAACACTAAATTTAATTTTCATAAAAATATTCTATGATATATTTCATACTTCTAGTATATATTGTACAACTGAGTCTACATTGATTAATAATGTTGATGATACAACTGAAGTTACTGTCCATATATGTCTATATAAGGACCACATTCACCAACAACACACCTAGCTTAAGTTGTATACTCCGAACCAGTGATCGAGGAAATCTCAAAATAGTTCAATTCTTAAACCTAGCATTCAGTAACATCATGGTTCCAAAGTCCTGCATCAAGTCCACTCCTTATCAACCCATGTCAGTGTTTTAGTCCTCAATACATGGGAGGTATAGGGGTGAAACAGGGTGGGAGGGGGGCTTGATGCATGACTATAGAGCCAAACTCTTCAATGGCGTAAGTTAAACAGGATGAAAATGGAACAATATGTATACCTGTATTTATGTATACCTGCAATAATGTACTCCTGTAATATACCATTACCGTAACCAGGTAAGTTAAACCATCATTCAGCTAGGTATTTAATACAATAAACACATTTTGCATGTTTCCCTGATCTGTGTTTTGAAAGATCATTTAAAATCAAGAAGTTTTAAGAATGCCATTTTGAGTATGCATGATATATTGGATTTACTCTGATCAGTTAGAATTTATTTTTTACATGGAAGAATAGATATAAGCAACACATTTTTTTACGTATCTATATGTATGTTAGATTTATTGATGTTGAAATGTCCCGTTTTTTTTTCAATACAAGGGGTGTTCAAAAAGTTTTCTAAACTGTCTGAACACACCTTGTATATTACTTTAAACTATACCTAATATTAACAATACTGACCTAGATAATTATGATTACTTGAAATGTCTTGATGGTCATGAATTTCCTCTCAAAACAATGGTAACACAAGGAATTTACAAACTAAAGCTCACTCATTTTGTAAAAATTACCCAAAAGTTGGATTTTAATTTTTTCTTCAAGACCACCAATCCATTAAAAACTCCAGTCGTAAATCTTTATGTAAATATTTCATTTTTACAGGGTGACCCAAAAATAGAACCCACAAATCTTAGAAGATTTATAGATTCTACTTTTTTGGGTTGCCCTGTATTATCATTATACATGAGATCTAAATACATCTTACTATGAAACTGTTACCATAGTAACTAGTCCTAATTTACTGTCCCAAATATATACAGAAAATGCAGTAACAAAATCCAAGCATATGCTAATTGAATGTAAAATAGAACATATTTGTTACAAAAAATATATGCAACTTTAACTATATATAAGACATCTACAATTTAGTTCAGTCACATACAAATAAACATAATAGCAAAATTATATACAAAATATAATGTCCTAGTAATAGAGGCAGTCTCAGTCTGGCATTTTGGAAATACACAGAATTTCTCTAAAAAGCCAGATTTCTTTTAGCATACTTTCATTCTGACACTAAATGGGCCAATTCTCCTGTTAGTATAATCTAAATGCAGCGATATAATACAAAAATATACAAACATATAACACGCCCTAGAACAAATACACTGTATAGAATGTGTCAGATGTATAAAGAGCAAAGAATTCCCAGCATAATGCGCTTTATGCAAGCATTAATGAAAAACATGCAAGCATAATTCACTATTTAATGAAACTGGAAACAAACTACATAATACCAAAAGCAAAATGCACTGAAATTGAGGTGAAGCACATTTGGCAAACATCCAATAATAAACACTACAGCCAATGTCAAATATATCAGCCAAATAAACATTAATAAAGAAACCAACTTGAGCGGAAATATTTAAGGACATTTAGTCCCGAGCTACGCTATGAGTATACACACTGTATCTGTAATAAACATTTTGTAGTACTTATGTTGAGTTACCCGAGGGTTCTCTAAAACAGAACCCTATTATCATGTTGTCAAATTCATGTCTACATATATAGATATATATTTTTTTGAGGTACTACAAATGCTACCTGATTACATACTGGGTTAGTCCATATATGGGTAGTCCACATATGGGTATATAGTCCATATATGGGTATATAAACGGATGAACTGACAACAGCTATAGCCTACTTACAAAAGCGCCACCTATGTACATATATCTAGGCCATATTTACAATAAATCTGTTTGGAATATTTCATTGTAACATTCAATCCTACATAAGATCCAGTTAAGTTCAACCATATGAAAGATTTGCAAAGACAGGATCTTATGCAAGTTGAGTGATTGGATTTTCATTTAAAAGCCATACTACCCCAATGTGGATCCACGGTTGTCATGGTTTTCACTCAATTAAAACAGAGGAATACCATGACAACATTTAAACACAGGGCAACTAATCTTAAAGGTCTTGTATCAAGTTTCAAAGTTGATACAGGGCCTTTAATTAATATAACACCATTTGTTGTCGGCAGCTCTACTACAAGCTCGATGTATATACATATACATGTCAACTTCTATCTTATATATATAATATGCAGAACCTAATATCAACCTATAGCCACGTAATAAGTGTGGCGAGTATATATTCATAGCCATACATCAAACCATATATGGTAAAATTGTAAATACAATGTACATGTACGAAATATACATAACAAATGCAAGTTCTCGCAATTAATAAACTCTTACTTTGATAGGGACTTTTACTAGTGGACTTTTCCACTGTTTTAAATATCATTGGATTTATACAAGAATATAAACATTAGAAAAAGAGAAAAATACAGAATTGGTCGTTGGAGATGCAAAGTATGCATACAAAAGATGGCGCTACTTATTCAACATTGTTTCAGAGAATTGAGATATTCGTCTCTATTTTCTAATGTTGATTTTCTTACCCTGTTATTACATTTCATCGAAGGAATTTTAATTTCATCCCTTTTATGGCTAACTAGCATATTGTACTGCACGTTATAACAATATGATACCTAGACGTCTCCACTAATTATAAATCAATCGTTTTCAAAATTATCCACATTTGGATATAAAATTCTTCCCTTATAAGATTTTAACACTGTGAAATAGACACTGTTACTCAAAGACATAATACAACATCTTATAGTGATAAACATACAACATACAGTTGTACATATAATAGTACCTATAGTACATATAATAGTACCTGTAGTACATATAATAGTACCTATTATGACAAATTGTTGACTTTTTCTCACACACAATTGTCGTGAGCTAAGATTCTCATTTTCAATATTGGAATTTAATTCCCGACACAATAATGGAAGACCAAATATGAGCGCTCTTTACACATGAATATATTTCTTCATGTCATCCATGATTTATTGTAATGATCATGTGTTTTTGTGAATTACAAAATAAGAGACAAACCGTTGAAAAGTATTTCTCACTACCTACCACCAAATTCCAAAAGAAAGCTTGTAAAAGTTACTTTCTTAGGTCATAATCACTTTTGTTTTGTTCAAATATCTATGACAACAAGAATTAAGGTTTCATAAAAATGTTGAAAAAAGCATGACAGAGAAGTCTTTATAAGTTGAATAATTTTAATATGCATTTAGTAATATCATTCAGACATTGTATTGTACTCTAGTAAATTCATTGTACTCAAGCGCAGTAAATTATTGTACTCTAGTGTAGTCATTGTACTCTAGCACAGTAAGTTATTGTACTTTAGTGTAGTCATTGTACAATAGCACAGTAAGTTATTGTACTCTAGTGTAGTTATTGTACAATAGCACAGTAAGTTATTGTACTCTAGTGTAGTCATTGTACAATAGCACAGTAAGTTATTGTACTCTAGTGTAGTTATTGTACAATAGCACTGTAAGTTATTGTACTTTAGTGTAGTCATAGTACAATAGTACAGTAAGTTATTGTACTCTATTGTAGTTATTGTACAATAGCACAGTAAGTTATTGTACTCTAGTGTAGTCATTGTACAATAGCACAGTAAGTTGTTTTACTCCAGTAATGTAAGTTGCTTTGTTCTAATATAGTGAGCTAAAATGCTATTGTACAATAGCACTGTAAGTTATTGTACTTTAGTGTAGTTATTGTACAATAGCACAGTAAGTTATTGTACTCTATTGTAGTTATTGTACAATAGCACAGTAAGTTATTGTACTCTAGTGTAGTCATTGTACAATAGCACAGTAAGTTGTTTTACTCCAGTAATGTAAGTTGCTTTGTTCTAATATAGTGAGCTAAAATGCTATCTCAAACACAACAATTTCTGCTAAAATGAACCTATGAAAAAGGTTCAACACTTATCAATATATAGGTATACAAATAGTCTCTTCAATATAATAGTAATTATGATCAAATGTAAGTTGATTTAGAATACATGTCAATTATCCTAATATTGGATGCTCCTCATTGTTTTAATACATGTTACTATGGTGATGTATTATGGCATCATACTGTCATAGAACACTGTCGTGTTTGGTCATATCCTCATTTAACCCAATCCCTGTCACACATACAACATATACCTTTCTGAAATATTACACATAATAGCTAAATTGGATTGTTTCTAAGAGAATGTCCATTTTGACATCAAGCTTCAGACCTTTAAGCACAATTTGGTCCCTTCACATTATTGGTTATTAATTAATACAGTGTGTGTTATATTTATGGTATACTGTCTATGCGTAATACTTATAGTTCTTTAATATCTTTTATATTTTGACTCTGCTTAACTGCACTGAAATGCTCACTAGATTTTATACGGTAAATATCAGAACAAACCGTCGACTAATAAATGGGTCATCTCTTTGCTATGACATTACATAATGAACCCAATTAATATCAGGCCAATATTTTTATTGGAATTTTATTTGGAACTATTTTTGTAATGTGTCATCGGGTAAGTTCTGTATTTGACCATATCTCAGCAGTCATACGATATCCCAGGACTTAAACAGCCTAGGACGTTTCATTCTCGGACCATACACTTCTATAAGCTTAATTCATACTATACATGTTTAATGCATTAAGTTCTAATTGTAGAATCTATAAACTGTCTGTACATAATATCAGTCATATTTCCCTTACTGGGAAAAGCATTTGCTTTATACAACCTTTTGGCGTTTAGCCTCATTTTCAATATTGTCTGCTTCATCTTCCTGACCTTGACCTCTGGATTTGAATTCTGAAGCCATATTTGAGTATTTATTTAATCTGAGAATATGCGAATCTGTTCGAGCATGATTGCGGAATTCCTCGATTGTTGAGAATTTTTCCCGACATGGGATACACTTATATTGTAACTGTTCAAGCTTCAACACTTCGTTTAATTCATCATCCTTTTTGCCGACAAAACATACAGAGCGTTGATGATTTAAGCAGCCATCTTTTCCTGGATAGACCATGTGACATTTCTTGCATACATAACCAACATCAACTGCTGACTCTTTCACAAGTTTGGCTTCAGAGCGAGGTATCTTTGCCTGAAGATCGGCAATGCTTTTACAATCCTGGGTGTACTGTGCGATGAACACGTCTGAATCTGCGACTTTGGTCATAATGCTACGAATTGCATCCTGGGGGATTTGGAGCAATGTGAGGGGCGTCCCAAATACAGTCGGGTCATACATGGCAAACGGGTTCTCCAAACCTAAAAAAAATGGAAAAATTATAATCAAGGACCTTCCAGCTGTTAATTACATTGATATAAGGATTAATTCCAAAGCTTATATAGCTTATATAGTTGCAAAGAGTAATAAATTGGCACTTTAAACTTTGCTAATTAAAGAAGAGCAATATCCCCCATGTGATATGGTTTCAACCATTAAAAGTGTTTTACGTGTGACATTTATGACTGAAAAACAATATCTCTAATTGCCCCTGGTATACAAACAGAGAAGTGTAGAAGCAATAATAAAAAATAACAGATAACTTATATGTCTTCTCAATGTATGTCTTAGTACGGTAAACATTATTTACAATTGCTTAGCCCATAACCTCAAAATTATGGAAAAACAACTTCTATAATTATGATATCTATGCCATGTGATATCAAAATATTTCTAAATAAAAATTTTAAAAATATGATTTTCTGTTTTAATTTTTTCAACGAAGCAATCATTATCGAAATTCATTTGCTCCACACACTCATGCTAAGACTAATAAAACCAACTTGTTATTACTCAAAATCTCAAGCAGGGCTAAATTGAAAGTGACGTTTTACCTGGCATCATCGGCATCATTCCTGGTAACCCTGGGAGATTTGGCATCCCCCCTCCCATCATCTGTAGCCCCGGGTACATGTAGGGGAACATAGCTGCAGCGTTCATATCCATACCCCCAGGGAACATTCCCGCAAGAGGATTCATAATACCAGGCAGTCCAGGTATAGTTGGCTCTTGCTGCTTCTCGCTCGATTTCTTCTCCGGAGATGTTGACGTTGATGATTTTTCTATCTTCTTGTCTTCTTTACCTGAAGTACAAGAGACGAGACAGATATGAATTTCAATTGTCAAATATTTTTAATGATGTCATATAAAGACCAGATTTTCATTTTCACATGATTATGTACATATTTTTCTCATACAGTTGTCCACAATAAGAATAAGCATGTATCTTTTTTCTAAAAATATTAAACTCTCACCAGTACATAAGAATGAGGGTTTGAAAATGAGCACAATGACTAAACAATAACACAAATTTTTACTGAGTTCATACTCACCATTTTGAGATCCTATGGCTTGCATTCCAATGGCCTGTAGTTGTGCTAGGTGTGGGTGAGCTTGCTTGGCTGACTCCCAATTCTTCCCAGAATTCATCTCTCCTGGACGCATCATCTGTGATAATCCTTGTGGCTCAAAGAAGTTCACCTCGCTGCCTTCCTCAGCCGCGACCAAGGCTTTCACTTTGGCCAGATGTTTCCCTGTGAATATGTGGTCCTGAATTGTGTATTTGTGCGAGTATTTGAAATTGCAAAGTTTGCATTCTTCTGGGATACGTGGCATCTCAACCTCGGCAGTCCCCAGATTCTTATAGTTGTTCAATTTGTGTTTTTTCTCTTTGGCTCTAGCATTTTGAAACCAGACTTGTACGACACGTTTTTGGAGATTGATCTGATTCCCGAGCATTTCACATTCAGCCATTGTAGGAGTCTTGTACTCAACGAATAGATTCTTCATGATCTTGATCTGTGTGTTTGACATTTGTGTCCTGTAGCGTTTTCCCGGTGTCATATCACGTGGGGAATGAGCACTACCAACCTCGCTTTGATCATTCTCAGTTGATCCATTCATCGATCGAGTCTCGGATGAATCATCATGATCGAAATTCTCTGAGCGTCTTGGTTCCGTATTTACTTTCATCGGTTTACTGAGATCTAAAGGAACTTCAGAGTCCTCTTCTGGTTTAGGTTGGGTTGTGTTGGATGCTTTAGGATTGCGTGAGTCGGCATTCTTGGTGCATAAATCAGAAGCAAGTTCCTGCATATGTTGCATCTGAGGCAATTTCGAATGATGGCTAGCCCCGCTAAGTTCATCGATGTATTTCTTCAAAGATTCCTCATAGATGCGCTTCATTGAGCTCTGCATTTGGTCGCTACCAGGGCCGGGCATAGGTGGCATAAAGGGCATATTCATAAAGGAAGGCATCCCTGGATAGGATCCCATCATCTTGGAGACATCCATTCCCGCGCCAGGGCTCACTCCAGGTGAGTTGCTCCTTGTGGGAAGGGGCGAGACAGCAGCTGGAGGAGCATCAGTGCAGTCAGGGATAGAATCAACACTTACTTCACCCTTGGAGAATTCTTCTGGATGTTTGGTTGCAAGATGTGACTCCAAGGCTGACTTTGCCCGGAACAACGCCCGACAGAAGGGGCATCGTTTATGTATGATTTGCTGGTGTGCCCGGAACTGTCCCTTACGTTCTCTGGCTCGGGTGTTCTGGAACCAAACCTGAACGACTCGTTTCTTCAAGCCTACAGTTTCAGAGATGTGCTCTAATTGTTTACGGCTTGGGTTGCAATCTTGTTGATACTTCTGGTAGAGATAATCGAGCTGTTCAGGGAGAATAGTTGTCCTGAGACGTTTATCTCTTGGCTGACCATCTTCGTCATATTCATCAAGTTCAGAAAACCTCCGTTTCAATGGGGAATTCTCATCTTGCTGTTGGGCCACATTTTGCAACATAGCAAATGCGCTATCTGGTGCAAAATTTGGGAAAAGATTTGGGTTTAACATGTGGACATTCTGGTGCTCTTGCCACAAGTCAAATCTCTTGAACATCAGATTGCATTTGTCACATTTAAAGCTTCCAGCAGTTCCCTCCTTCTCTGCTTTGTTGGCTCCTTCAGGTGATTTCTCCATGCTATCATCTTTACTCTGCTCAACGTGATTGGAGTCTTCATATGAGTTTGTATCATCTAGTGGCTCACTCTTGATGGAGTCAGGTTGAGCATCATCCTTGAAACATTGAGATCGCTGATGTTTTATCAGCTCATAGTATCTCTGGAATACTGTTAGGCATTTCTTACATTGATAGTTTAACCCGGGAGTTCTTTGAAATCGGTCTTTCTCATTACTTTGGCTCACTGGTGGTGATGTCATATCAACAGGTGGTTGATTTTCATATATTTTCCTCGCTTTTTGACGTGCATTTTGGAACCAAACAACAATGACCCTAGGACTAAGGCCTAACATCTTGGATAGTTGGTCAAGGTCGTCATCCTTAGGGTAAGCATTCTGCTCAAAATATTCTTGGAGGACCTTGATTTGGTAGTCGGTGAAGCGTGTGCGGTTTGCCCTTCTCCCACCAGAGCCCAGTAAAGCGTTCACATGTGGATTGCCAGTATCATTGTGAATTCCAGCCTCCTGTTGTTGTTGTTGATGCTGTTTGAAGTAATGATCCATGAAGACATTATCGCCTGGAGTGGTAGGTGTGGCGGAGATTGGAGTCACGGGGGCGGAGCTAGTGCTGACAAATACGCGATCATCTTTCTCTTCCTGTAAGCGTGTGTCTAGTTTTGGACGATGGTGATGAGAGAGCTGACTGTGATGAGGGGTCGGAAAGAAACTACTTGATGAATATGTGATTGATTCACGAGGCTCACCACGTTCTGAAATCTCTTCCGGGATATCTCTTAGGACTTCCTCGTTCTCTGATGATGTTGTGCTGACTCGTCCAGTTTTCTCATACTCCTCAAGGTTAAGAGTTGTAGATGGCGGGTTGCTGAAGTTATATGGAGAATCCTTGTTTCTCTGGCGTTCTTTGAACAATGTATTTCTAAACCAATGCTTTATTACTTTATGTGGTAGCTGGGTTTGATCAGCCATTATAGCAATCTGCTCTTCAGTGGGGGAGTTGTTGATGTCAAAGTGAGCTCTCAAGACTTTCAGTTGTTCATCGTTGATGCGTGTTCGGGCACGCTTTGAATTGGCTTGAGCTTGAGCCGCTGCTGCTGCTAGATTCTGCTGTTGTTTGGAAAGAGAGCTGGGATCCATTAAGTTCATGCCTGGGGGGCTTGCTAGGGGGAAGTCCATGCTAGGGGGCATCATCATCGGGATTAATGGTGGGTGCATGTTCATGGCTGCTAGGTTACCCTGCCCTAATCCCATCATTGGCATCTGCATCATCTGCAACATTGCAGCTTGATTCATCGCTGCAAAGTCTAGAGAAGGTGTCGTTGGGGTTGGGAGTTCACTGGTGGAGGTTGACAACTTCTCTGTCTGAAGAGTAAGTTGTTGTGTCTTTGCTTTGTTTAAAGCCTCCATTTCTGCTTCAAGTTGTTTCTGTTGGTCGGCAAGTTGTTCAGCTTCTTTCATTTCATACTGTTCTCTGAACTCATCACCAAGTTGTTCAATAATAGCACAGGGGACTAAATGGCCATGTACTTCTTCTTGATGAGACTTAAGCACCCAGACACTGGTGAAGTCTTTCTGACATGTGGGGCAAGTTGATTTGTTTAGCTCTGGAACAAGATCAACATTTTCTTTATTCTCACCATCCTCATCAGCTTCCTTCTTGGGTTCTATTTTCTTCACATCACTGAATGGACTGTCGAATCTAGATTTGATGTTCATATCAAGCGGTTTCACTGAGGATTTCTCTTTGCCGGATTTAGATTCTGCATCTAACTGCATGGCATATTCGTTATACTGCATTACACATTCAAACCCGATATCCTGGAGGAGAGAACGTTGTTTCAACGAACGGACATTGCTGCGGATGATTTTACGTTGCTGGGGTGCTGTAAAGTAGCAATACAGCTGCTGATGTTGCTCTAAGACTTGCTGAGACACAAACTGTGAGTTACATTTATCACATGTAACCATGTTATCTTTATTTGAACCCTGTTGTGGAGGCTGTTTCTCTGATGCTGCCTTCTCTTGTGCCAGCGCTATTGTCTCACCACTTATTCCCAAAAGCTTGGGGTCAAAGTTCGTTGGTGATGTCATAAAAGACGATGGATTAGACATTAACCCAGGGAAACCATACATCGAAGTTGGGATGAGAAGTGAAGCGGCCGCTGCAGCCTGCTGTTTTTGCTGTAACATCTCTGCGAGGAGTTTCTTATGGTTAGTGAGGGGCTGGTTGCGTGAGCTGGTGGCGCCGTCTGGCTGCTCTACAAGGGGCTGGGAGAGGTCTACCTGTCCAGTGAGGGCCAGTTCTTGTAGCTTTGACGACCTGGTCTGGTGCAGCACAGAGCGCATGTGGATATCTAATGTGGTACCCTGGCTGTAGCTTACCTTACAGATGTTACACTTATAAGGCTTCTTATCTTCGCTGACTGATGTTGATGGGGTTGGGGTTGTGGAAGGTGTTGACGTGGTAGGTTTCTCAGGGGTAGGGGTGACGGGTGGGGTGGGTGTTGAACTGGGAGTAGAGCTAGACATCGGAGCCATTGCTGTCTGCAATGCAACCTGCTTTAGCTTATGTAAATGTGACACTGAGTTGTAATGCACAAGGAGGATATTCTTCTGTGTAAAGCTCTCTCTGCAGACGTCACATTTGAATGGTCTGTTGGGGTCAAGGTACTTCTCCATAGGGTATGTCAGCTTGTCACCCTTTCTGTGGAGCAGGGTCTTGTTATGTGCTGTCAGGTAGTTCTGTTTTGTGAATGCAACTTTGCACCTGTGACACTTATACTTGCGATTTGGGTCATTGTAGCTATCTTCTGCCATGGCTTGACTGTTGATGTAGTCTTCCATGAAGTTTTCTTCTTTGTATGAGCCACCCTCCGAAGATTCAGTGCTTTCATCACGTACACCTCCGTCACTGGAGGCATCATCGTTCTGACCTGGGGTGCCGGCTCCTTCACGTGGCGTTTCAGCAACTTTAGGAGTGCTTGCTGGTGAAGGGTGGTCATCATTCTTTGATAGATCCAAGCTTTCAGAATCAAAGCCTGTCATACCAGCCATTGGTGGCATGTTAAGAAGCATACTTGAGGTAGCCGCTACGCTTTGTCGGTACTGCTCTAGCTCTCCCTCAGTCATTGTCTCAAGGTGAGTTGTCTCAATGTGTTTCCGAAGGGCACCTATGGAGCGGAAACTTCTAGAGCATATCATACATTTGGTGGCGTCACGGATCATGTGATACTGCGAGTGTAACTGGAGTTTCTCTAGGGTCTTAAATGCGAGACTGCATTGGTTGCAGCGGAACTTGTAAACATGGCGCTCCGACACAGCGACTGTTGTCCGCTTGGAGTGAATCTCACGGAAATGAACCTAAAACATACAATTTCACAGATTATTCATTGGATACACAAATGAGACAACAATAAAATATTAAATACATGGTCTTACGTCCATTTTGATTCTTACATATTATTCTAACTTTCAACTCAAACAAAGCAACGCTAAGCATGGATTTCCTAGGGCCTTCTTAAATCTTTAGATACCCAATTATTGACTTAAAGTCTGATCTAAGACCTAAATAACACTATCGATTTTTAATACATAAATCAAATAAAAGAATAACCTTGATGCATCAGATAAATTCTGTTCTCATATGTCATGAAAGAAATACATAAGAGCAAACATTTTTTCACAAATGCATGTCAATTTCTAAATATGTATATACATTTTCACTCAAAGTGTAATGCCCCAGCTCAAAATAATCGCAATTAAAATGCAATTAAAAAGCAATTAACCTGTAGAGTATCTGCAGTCTTAAAATACTGATTGCATCCTTTCTTCCAGCAGAGATAGCCTGGTCCACGAGGCGTCTGCTTCAGTTCAAGATGGCCTAGTTCATTCTGGTGAGTATAGAGGGCATCTATGTTGCTGAATGTCTTCGAGCACGTCTGACACCGATATTCGTCATCGTATTTCTCATTTATGACTGAAGCCTCAGTTGGTGACGCTAAAAATTGAAAAATTTTATTTGATGAGAGTTTTAAAAAGATATGAGGAAAAATACCTGTCATGTATTACACATAAAAATTGAAGTTACTGCTACTCAAAGAATGCTGTAATTCTGCCTTTAAATATTTTGTTTTTGAAAACTATGCTTGTGTTTGATAATAACTTCCGTCGCAAAGTGGCTATTTTTACAAAATAATTATATGATAAATACCAAAAGGTAATTTAGTAAAGTTGCATATAATTATTTTGTTTTTGGAGTCATTTTGGTTAATTTTCACATCATCCTCAAATTACTTAAGTCTATAAATGCAAGAAAATAATTTCATAATCAAGTTGTTTCACTTAAATCCACATAACTGTATTCATAAGATGAAAATAACTTTTGTAATATGTAGGTATGAGAGTTCAAACAAGTTAAAACATTTAACTGTTATTTCTCTACCAAAAGTTAGAATTGATGTAGTCCAGCATGTTAATGCTTTAAAATAGCTGATTTATAAAATATGTCTCCTTCGCATTAGACAGTTCAACCACACCAGTTTTTCAAGGTTTTCACATTTCCAACGGCACTAGTTACTCGACATTAACTATTGCGATTTTGAAATATAAATTGTTTAGAACATTTTGAACACTTACTCTTCCCTAAAGCGTTCATATCAAATTCTGTTTTCACTGCAACTGCTTCGTGCTTTGGCCCATGACCTGGAAACAATATAACAGATTCGTTTAAAGAAAATTAAGACATTTTCACATGGCTCTGGTTCAAAGCCAGCCAGGGGAACAAAACATTATTTTACATCTTATTTCATGAAATATTTCTGAGTTTTACTCAATTCCATTTTTCTTTTTAAAACACTATAATTTAAAAGTAATTATTTTGTTATAGTGACAAATGCAAGATCCAGAATCCACATTCAGAATTTAACTCCAAATCAGTGTACCATCAAGCAAAATCGTTAGATTGATCTCAAGTGAGTTTTGAAGTAATTTTCACATGTCAATATGTACAATTAAACCCACTGAATTCTTCGCCATCTATTGACAGCTCTCAACATCATTATTCAGGTGTAAAGAATAAGTTGAAATTGATATTGAAAGTCTGAACAACAAATTTGTTTGTCTGAAATACTAAATACAAACTAATTAGTCCCTGTTTATTCATTTTCAGCTAAGCAGACATTTATTATAAAGAAAAACAAAGTTTCAGATTTCACAAAATCACTGTAAAAACATTGATTCGATTCAGTGTTTTAAAACAATAACTAAATATACTGAGAAATTGTAAAAATTAATCCTGATTAATAACGTGACAATCGTCAAAACTGACATGCTGACAAAAGAAATTAAGCTTATTACAATGGTATAAAAAGTTCTTTGAAAACATCAAGCGAAAGCTGATTACGAATATACATGATTACCCAAGTAAAACATGGCAGAGTCAGGTTTTGATTGACTCCTGCGATAAGTGAGAAATGTTGATGCATTTGCGTGAAATTAGGTGAAAAGTTTTAGAATTCCATCTCTTATGTTTAATAAAAAATAAATAAACAATGTAGCGACGTAACGGAGAAAAATCGAAATATTACAATAGTGATGAAAGCTTTTGAACGGTTTTACTGATTAGTTGAAAAAATAACACACAGTGGTATAGATCAATATGCCTTAATTAGGAACTAGAATAACTACATACTATCCAAGATTATTAGTTTTTTGATACAATTGTATTAGAAGGTGGCGTTTTAGAGCACGATTCACCATGGTTGCTATGGCGACAGTTAGCTAATCTTTAGGGTAATAATTATCTCACATGGAGGCTAATTTGTGGAATTGCCATCTCTCTCTATGCTCGGCTTAATTAGTGGGGAACTAAGCTGAACCACATTGATTTTCTCACTGATGTAATTAACGATGTGTATTTTCATTATGAGAATCAGTGATGGACGTCACAAACTGTCATGATAATGACAAAGTCATAATGGCTCATGATAGCGATTTAATTAGCCCACATAAACTTGGCGCTTCAAAGAGTCACCTCGAAAAATAAAAAATTAACATCGACTGATCTCTAACAGCAGAAGAGTATATTTTACACAACAACCCTTCAAATGCATTTTTATGGTACGCTACAAAGAGGCTCAATTTATGAGCATGCAACATGAAATCTAAACCAATACTGACAAACTAACTTGAAAAATCTACATACCACTACGATCCATGTTTTCCTGTGTTGAGTCACGTCTTGATGATGTCACAGTAGTTGATGATGTCACAGTGGTAGATGACTTTGGGGGTGGTTTGATGTCGTCTCCCTGGTGATCCACCATTACAAGTAAGCGAGACAAACCCTCATGTGTAACATTATGTACCTAGAAGAATACAGGCCTATATGTACATATATAGATACAATAAATATTTATGCAGAACACAATGAAAAACAACTTTAAACATGATTATGTGTTAATTGAGTACAAATGATTTTTAATAATATCTTTCATCCTTTCAATTATAAAATTTGACTCAATAACAACTCGAAAAAAACAAGAAAAAATACTCAGTAACTCCTACATTCTTAACAAAAATATTTCAATCCTGAACAAAAATATTTCACTTTTGAACAAAAATATTTTCTCAAATCACTTGTTATTATGTCCATAAAAACCTCAGACACTCACCTCATCATAAAATGTTAGAATTTCTCATTCAAATAAATAAGTACTGTACCTTGGAGTTAAGCAGAGGCACAACCCGATTAAAAATTAAGTAAGGTTATATGAAATATACTTAACTAACAAATTTCATTTGGACAGTTTTGGATTGAAAAAATGTCTGAGTAAATGCATTTGTGTTTTGGTGAAGCAGTTGCTTGCATGCCTTGCTATGCCATGTGGTGTATGATCTTACTCAACCAATGTTTGATTATATACTCACTACTCAACCAATGTTTGATCTGTACTCAACCAATGTTTGATCTGTACTCAACAAATGTTTGATGTGTACTCAACCAATTCTCTTTTATTAACGTACCTGAACAAGATGTTTCTCCAACCGTGACGTTTCCTTGAAGCTCTCCTGACAGAGAGGACACAAGCGACCTTTACCCTCTTGTTGCTGGGAATGCTGGGTAATAACGTGAGCGCGAATATGAGCCTCGTTAGGGCTGGTGTAAGTACAATATGGGCATGTATGAGTCGATTCAGTTGGTTGCTCCAAACCTGAAATAATACGAAATTAGTTAGTTAGTTTTATCACTCAATTCTAATGAAAACCTTTGACTCAAGTTTAACTGTATACTGAATCTTAACCACATGTACATACATATATGTAATTATTTCTATTTTTCTAATTAAAACATTGATAATTAATCAACAATAATTAATTAACATACAGTTACCATTAGTACAAACAATGTTAATTAAACAGTGCATTATCCATCATTTACATACAAAAATAGGATTAAAAAGAAATAATTGCAATTAAAGTATAAATATAACAATCCAATTTGTCATATGGTGACAGGGTGGCCATCTCATATACTGACCTATATACACCCCCCCCCCCTTTATAGGTTTGGCAACCTGATGTTTTTTATTAGAAACCAGATCAAAGCTTGCCAATATCTGAATCTTAAGTTTGTTCCTTATTACTATACTTCAGAAATTTATGAAATTTTTTTTTAAATCGTCAAACATATGCAGGGTTTGATAAGTGATTTTAAAAGAGGGGGGGTGTATATGTATAGTGTCCAACAACAATTAAACATACAATATCTAAAGCATTCATCTTCATGTAAAGCATGTCAAGAAGGTTGCATGATTTTACCACATATACTTGGAAAAGTCATCCATCCCTGAAATTAATAAATTTTACCATAATTGACCACCATGCTTGACATTTTAGCAATTTATGCCAGAGGCGGGGAAACACACCTAAAATAGATTCAACACTACATGGAATTCCAATGCTCTTTAAATAACAAACAAGAAATTAATTTGATCTGTATTGATATCATAAAAGTTAGAATGAATGGTATTTGACATATATATGGGACATTTGTCTCAACCAACATGTGCATCTATGAGCTTTGCCCCCCCCCCCCCCCCATCAGTAAATCAGGCTCCCATATATTGTCATACCATTTATAACACCTACCTCTTTCCTAACAGTAATCAAATTAAAATTCCATAATTGAAAATAATCCAAAATTCTTTTCAGTTTTGTATCTACAACTCCTGTATTGATAATAAGCTGACTGATATCCACTGGTAAAGATACGTTATCCACTAGTAAAGATATGATTTTGAACACCTGACTGTTCTTCTACCTGTTACATTACTGCCTAGTTGGTGAAATGACCTATACCCCAAAATAATTGTCTTGCCCACCCAACAATTAACCTTTCAGTAGGTGCTAACCTTTAAAATCCTTAAGAAAAACACCCACTGGTAAGGTATTTTCTTGTTCATTAAATATGAAAGGTTTAAATTGGAATGGGTTAATTTGCATAAGTAAGGGCCTATTTGAAGATTGCAAATATCAATGCAGAAATGATTGAATTGAAAACAATAGCATTGAGGTGGAACCACTACAGGGGTTATATCAAAACCAATGTCTGGATTTTACTTTTAACACACAAATATGTCTGTTTGGGATTTTGTTTACAATATGGTCCCTTACCACACAAGGTGAGCACAACATTTGGTAATTCAACAAAATATCAACAAAAAGTTATTCATATTTGTAATTTTAATCAGTTTTTAAAATATAATTAAATGGTCCCTTTTGTAAACTTTAATATTTCCCCCTAAAGCCACAAGTCATTAAGAAATACAATAAATGTTCAGTCGTCTATTCAAAATCACTGTTTACTCGGTATAAACAAAAGAAATAAATTGCCATGGGGTAGAACGATATTTAAGACAATTTAACTTCATTGCGGTACATCTTCTATACGTATGTATTGGAATTTCCCAGGAATGGAGCAAGGGAGGTACTTCCCCACTATAATATTGTCCCTTAACGACCAATCAAATTATAGGATCATCAATTTGGGTCTAATGAATTCTGGAATATGAACAATTATTTTAGGAAAAACTTGATTGCAAATTACACACCTTAATATTATAATGGGTGAACATGAGTGCAGAATAATCAGACTGTCAAAAATTAACATTTTACCTGCCATATGTCAAAATTGTGGCTAAAGCAAATGCAATTATAATGATTAATCATGGAATTTGGCCTTATTGGAATTTAAAAGCTCACTTTTGTCTTTGATGGGGTTATAGTATGGGAATCTTTACAGTTATCTATTGTGAACATTTGGATGTCATATTTAATGGAGAATTCACATGCAAATTAGACACTTTGTCATTCTATGAAATAACAACATGCCATCAAATAAGATTTGAAAGATTAGATTTCAAATGCTAATATTTCAATTTCATGATTCTATATGTCTTTTGTCCTATTTCTAGTTTATAATTTTGATCAATGTCAGATTCTTTCAATTAAAATCACTTTTCAAACAAATAAATATGAAATCTTTGCAAGCATCCGGTAAATATGACAAATACTTGGGTATAATTATTGACTATGTAATAAATAATAAATAACTATGAAAATGATGTAAATATGTATGAATAAATAATAATGGAGCGATTATTAACATATTAATATCAACATATTTCATTGTCATAACATCTTTATCTTGAGGAATTAAAAAACATGTAAAATCAAAAAGAGGCAAATCATATTTTGAAATTGTTAATTTATGATCATTCATTGTTTCACATGTTTTCAGTCTTCCTTTCTCAGACCTTGCTAGTGGAAGGAGACGTGTCAACATGAAATGTATAAATGACATTAACTATATGAATAGCCCTAAATGCTACTCTTGTAGCAAGCTCCTGTACAACCCCCCCCCCCCAAGTACACCCCCCTGCCAATGAACCTTGTGTTGCTGCAAGCCCCTGTGCACCCCTTGAATAAATCTAGTCTCTCCATGATGTGCAGCCCCAATAAACTTATCTTTTATCAAGCTTCCCTATCTATCTCCTATTTTAAAGAACATCCATGTACATTTGTGAGTAGCCAACATATCTAATTTACAAAGTTTATGGCTTGTTTATAATACTCCAGATTCCAACAAATATCCACCCTTTGTAATCATTTAATTTACATAATATACAAGGCTCTCTGACACTCTGGTTTAAAGAAGATAACATCATACGCTTTCGAGGAACCACCATTAATGACACAATTGCGTCATACAATACAATTGCGTCATAAAATACAAATGCGTCATACAATACAAATGCGTCATACAATACAAATGCAAGTCTACCATTCATGCAACAAACGACAACATTTAAAGATGCTGACCCATCCAAGACACCTGTTTTCAAAAGAGGGTCTGCATTCTTAACAACATGTAGTTCAAATCACCAATGGAGAGGATATACAAATGCATGCATCTACGAAACTTTGTATAACTGGAAACTAAACGTATGTTGCATATGTTTTGTAACTGTTTTCTCATTTTCCATATTTCATTATTATTTTAATTTAAATTATTTAGACAGGCTGGCCATATTGATATATTAATCTGTTGGTTCAATGAACTTTTTTGAAAAATATTTATACAAGTATTATCAATATTAAGTTATTTGTTTTGTTATTCTGAATATATTATCACAGTGGGCTATTGTTAGCTAGATTGATTAATTAGTGTTTTTGTATGTTTGTGTTTTCAAATGTTTCCAACTGTGTTTACCAATTTGATTCTTTGTAGTAAACAACAGTTCGTGTAATTATGGATAATTAGCAAGATTTGAGAAAAAATAATTGTATTAAAGTAAAAAGCCTTTCTATACATTGTCAAAATCATGTCACTTTTCATTTTCAAAAAATATCTTTTTCAAAACACAAGACAATTCACTAGTGACATCTATATTTTCTATTCAAGTTTGGTCATAAAAATTAGTTTTTTTCAATGCAACATCGGAATATGGACTTGAACAGGCATTAGACAAATGGAAAAATATTAGACCTTTCTATATTTTAATCAAACTAATTAAATCAAAACTGGTTTTATATTTAGGATGCTTGTTATACCAAAGGCTTTCAAGAGAGGAACAACCCATGGTTACATATGACTACATCAATGGGGTATCATGCACTCAGTGATCAGAGGCTAAAAGATCAAGCGAGGTTATGACAAATAAGACTATAATAATAAAAAAAATAATTGGAATTGTTTTATCATTTTTTATGAATAAAATTAACGGGTTGGTTTAACGCCAATGGGAATGGTATCAATGATGAAAACAGTTAGAAAATGCGACAATAACAAGACACTTGGTACAAACTCCCACCAATAGATGGCATGCCAATTACCCATAGTTCCATTGGTGCTTAAATAGGCGTGATTCAAATGGTGAACACTTGCACCCGTGGGATCGTGAATCGGAGGCAAAGGAGGTGGTGCCCCAGGAGGCCAACCGTGGACTGCATTGGCGGAATAATGCATCCAATCCTGAAGCCATTGCTCAGTATAACTCCATGGATCTGAATAAGAGTGGCACATTTAACGGTGTTAAATAAGAGTGATCCTTTTGCTAAAAACCATCATCAGTAGTTATGGTCCATTGAATAGAAGAGGGACATGTAGAATGTACACTGAAGTGTTCATTAAGAGGCATTAGGTGTTCTCCTCTGATTAAACACAATTTAATGAACACTTGAGACATCTCTGGAAGTTCATCATTCAAACTAAAAAAAAGTGAATCATTATAAATTTCATTTACAAGGTACTTCCATACTTCTCCCATGTATGGTCATTATTCAGGCGCGTAACCAGGCATACGTGAGTGTACGCAGTTGCGTTAGGATACATCAAAAAACCAATTGCTCAGGACGTACCATTTAAGGTCTAAAATCTAAAACTTTCCGGGGGCCCCAGTTTTGCTCATCCATCGGCACCATTTAAGATCTAAAATCAAAAATTTTCCGAGGGGCATGCCCCCAGACCCCCTAGTTTTGATTGGCCTTCCGCCTCGCGTACCTGCTACCAAATTCCTGGTTACGCCGCTGTTATTTCTGGTTATTATATCAAAATAAGTGCACTCCCATAATGCTCAGTCACATCCAGTTATTGTTACTAAAGGAAGTATACTCCCACAATGCTCTGTCATGTTTAGTTATTGCTACTAAAGAAGGTTAACTCCCATAATGCTCTGACATATACAGTAGTTGTTACTAAATGACAAATGAGAAAGCAAGGCAAAAGGAAGACTAATTAGATGTTGCACTAGATGTTAATTAGGATCATCTTCAATACTCGAGGGGTTACGTCTTTGAAACATTTATTTATTAAGTTAGATTTCACCTCAGTAGTTCTAAAATAAAGCATTGTTTCTTAGGCGAAATTTGAATGCAGGTGTGCTCCCATGAGACAGAGGTATAAAACAGGAACAGAAATTTCCTGCTTCGACAAACCCCTTTAAGAAACAAGATATTTTCTCAAGTGTTGAGAAATGAAAATAATCGACAAAGTTTACTCACTCTGTACTTCTACTGGAGTTGAACCTCGCAAGATGGCAGCACTGTCTTTCTGTTCTTCAGCAATATCAGTGTCGCCACCTATATCTGTCTCATTCTGGTCACCATCTATAAATACATCAGATAAAAATATTCATCAATTTGTTGGATAACAATTAAAGTTCTGTACTATAGTACAAATACATCACATTCAACCAATATTTGGACACACCCCTCAAATAGGAAGTCCACTGATGTAAAGAGGGGGCTTTTTCTTTGGGTTGACCACCGTTTATGACTATGCGGGTATAGCATTCCCCCACTCTAAAATATAAATTGAGAATTATTGAGTGAACACTTTCTAAATTAAACCACAAGAAACATTAGAAGGACTCAGAAATCAGAAGTCTGTACTCTTTCTAAATAAAAGAGCTTCGATGCAAAATTATATCTCATGATAATGATGATGAATTCCATACCTAAAATTTCACAGGGCATTCAATACCATGAATATGGTATGACTTCAGAATTCAACTAGGGCACTTAAATTGACCAATATGGTAAAACTGATGATATCACTAAGATTGCAAAGCTCTTGGTAATTAACAGCAGCCAGAGCTGTTTTCTTGCTTGTAATTAGATGATGGATCATGCAGAGTGGAAAAAAATAACATTCTCCGATTACGTGTTTTTTCACCCAGGCTGATTCTTTTAATTGCAGTGAGTCTGCATAAACATTCCGCAATCTGGGAGCCATTTTGTTAAATCATAGATCGTATTTAGACGAAATGATTTCTGTTTTTCATTCCATGTAATGTGTGTCATATATGGACATATAGAATGTACTGTTCGAATATAAGCCATCCAAGTGAGTTAAAAATACTGAATGTATGATCGGTGATAATTATGGATCACTGATCAATAGAATGAATGATCTATTTAAGTATCACATCTTTGGCTTTTCGATGTGACTAAACCATTTCATATATCCTATTAGAGTCCTGACATGTGTCTTATAAAGTTTTCAAATCTCTCGGCCCCTCCCCTCTTTGAGTTTGTGATGAGGGAGTAGCACATATATTAGGATATAACAGAGAGTTTCATTGGGAGGGGGTGGAACACAGAGGTAGTAAGGCTTGTTACATTTGTTATATAAATGTTCCATCTTATAATCACGCCCCTATAGCACCATTACTTAGACAAATCACCACTAGATGTGTAATTGTACCCCATATTCTCCCACACACTTATGATATGGGGATATGGGTTCAAGATTGGGTCCTGCTATCTATCACACTCTCAAATACTCAAATATGTGGATTGTTGTCAGTTAGCATACAGTTAAAATAACCATTAGATATGATTGTTATTTGATATCCTTCCTGATAGGGATTTATTTACCCCTACTTGATTTACTCAGCATGGTTTGATTTCTTTGTTTCCTCCACACATGAAGTGGTTGATTGCTCATAGTCTTGCATTAAGCCTCTTCACCCCCCCCCCATCTACCTCTCTCCTGCGGGGGATGTTTGAGAGGGAGGGGGGGGGGCACAAGAGCAAAGCAAGACTGAATTCCAAGCCACATTAACTCATATACCCTGATAACAATAAATGTATAACTTAAGATTGAAATAATATTTTCAAATAATATGTCTTCAGTGATATTCTTTGCTGTTTCTATGAGACAACCTAGACAACCTACCAAGCTCTGCTAAAACAAATATCCAAAAAGCAGCCATATTTGGTGTTGGGTCATGATTAGTTTCTGCTTTCCCAGCTAGTGTAACGCAAACCAATTAAACATATTTCCACCCAATATTCATTTGGCCTGGTGAACTGTTCAGTAATTAAGCCCATCTTGACTCAACATTTCCCCGCTCAAAAACACTTACCGATAGCAAATCGTAAAAAGCCAAATAGATTTTTTAGCCTAGGATCGTGAAATTAGTAGAAGATAGAAGTTAAACATAACAAACAATCCATCATCATATGTTTAATTAACCAAATGCATCATACTGATCATTTGCCCCAGAAATAGGTTGCATGCTTTCTCAAGAAAAGCCACAAGCTAACATTTTCTAATCCAAACTTCCACCAAAACTGAGGAATGACCAAAGAAGAAAACAAGTATACATAAAGTATTGATTCTAAATTGTATATAAATCTTAAAAAATTGGATGCTTTATTCAAATTTTAGAGAGGAACTTAGCGAAATGTGATTGACCTACAAGTTATCGTCTGCTAGGTGTTGATTTCTGACAGGATCCTAGACATGTGTGTTTTATACACATCTGATAAACTCATTGAGATAAGAACCTGCATTCATTTTCATCTTCCAAAAATTAACTAAAACTTCACTATTATTTCGATTCCTTTAAAAAAACTTAAGATAATTCTGATTTGATTTTGGATAGCCCACTACCCCACTGTTTGATGCAGTTCTCCTGACCCATATCATGTATGATGTATAGAACGGTACAGTACATCATATTCTGAGAAGGGATAAGATTCAAATATGTATCTAGGTGTGCTTTTGGTGGTGGTGAGGTATCTTTGTACCTATCAGAATTTCGATAATTATGAGGTGATAAATATGAGACTTATACTATAAAATGCCAGAATTGGCAAATTTTGATTCCAGAAATATAGATTTACTTAATGACATAATTTATATATATGTACTATCAATCTTCATATCAACATTTAGGCTTAGTGTTTTTATGATATAACCAAACAATATGAAATTGGGTAGCTGGACCCTGAGTCTATACGCTATATCCCATTATCTCCTTTAGGAGAGGCGATTCAGCCATTGTCTCCCATAGGAGACTCTCCAAGGTGAAATGATCCAACACATGTAATCAGTATTAATAACAATATATAATTCCATATGCTCTCAACTGACCACATTGAGTTTTGAACCATAAAGGCATTGCACCAAATTGAAATTTTGAAATAGAATGGCACCCACTTGAGAACGATTTCACTCACTTGAAAAGAAACATGGAATTTGGCATGTATTGACCAACTTTACAAAGGATTAAGAAAATGGGAATTTTGCAATTCCAGGCAATCCCTGAAAAAGGTCCTGGGAAGAACTCTGGACCTAGATTAATTTTTTAAAAGATAATCTCTTAAAGCGATTAATCTAAGAGAGTTTGGTACTGTGATTAATTCTGCAATTTATGAGACTCCACATATTCATGAAAAATAACACCCTGCACTGATAAAAATATTTACATTTTTCTTCTCTGTAATCTCTCCTATCTTGTCAAATGCTTCTTTTATCTTATGTCTAATGAAGAAGACTATACCATT